TGGTTGATGAGCTGAACTCTTACAAAACTATTCTGTGTGTCTTGTAGGATTGAGTGATTAAGAAAACACACTGATGTTCAAACTAGGGCTCTGACTCTTGCTGTTGGGAAGAGGAGACAAAAGGAGGGCCAGAATTGCTGTGACAAGGTATCTGTATCAATTCCTGACTAAAAAAAAAAAAGAGAAGAAGAAAAAAATCTATGTTCTTAAGTCTGTCCTCTGAATGATATTGTAGCAAAGAAACCCTTGGCAGCAAGGGACAGACCAGACCTTAGTTTCTAAATACCTTTCTTCCGTTAAATTAGAAAGCCAAACAGCTTGGCTGACTCTAGGGCCAGGGTAGGAAAATCACTGTTGAAAATACTCAAAAACGGATGAGGGCATTTCAAAAGGACACAGGAACCATCTGGAAGGGCCAACTTGGAACATCGAAATAAATAATGATAGAAATGGCTTATAATACAAAAACTTAAAAAGAATCCTCAAGTTCATAGTGAAACTTCCAATATTAAACAAATAAATGCAAGTAGGTGGAGCAGGGAGAAAGGGAATCTTTTCTTTGTGGAAAGCCAACCAATAAATGCAGAAGAAATGACAGCAGTAGGGGCATCCCCAGTTTATAAACACCATGGTAAAAACTGGTTGAGGCAAGACTTCATCAATGCATCTTTCCACCTTAGGCGACATGTGGTCACGTGGTATTGACGTACCACCCACACAGCTCATGTTAATTCAAAGGGAGGGAAGATAACTTTAACACACAGACACACACAAAAAAAACAAAACCAAAAGCCAACTTAACCAAGTAATGAAATTTAGGATCATGGATAATGGGACAAACATCACCGCGTGTCTCTCAATGAGATGCACTGAAAAGGACCCGGCTGTGCTCCTCCCAGTGGGTTTGCCTTCAGTTTGATCACGAAGAGGCAGAAAAAATTGGGGGCCATTCTGCAACATAGCTGGCGTGGGCGCTGCCAAAATGTCAGTTGGTAGGGACGCCTGGGTGGCTCAGAGGTTAAGCAAGGCAGGTGCCTTGGGCTCAGGGCGTGATCCTGGAGACCTGGAATTGAGTCCCACATCGGGCTCCCTGCAGGGAGCCTGCTTCTCCCTCTGCCTGCGTCTCTGCCTCTCTCTGTGTCTTTCATGAATAAATAAGTAAAATCTTTTTAAAAAAGTAAATCACTTGTTAAAGGCAAAAGAAAAACAAATGGCAGAGGAACCCCTCTAGATTAAAGAGCTTAAAGAAACCTGATGACTCAATACCATGTGTGGTTCTGGATGGAATCCAGGACTCTCCCACCGGGTGCTGTCCCAAAGGCTCTGAGTGAATCATCAGCACAGTGGGGGAGATTTTCATCTGAACTGTGAAGATAATGGTAAATTTCCTGGATGTAATAATTATGTAGCACAATGCTTGTGTTCTTAGGAGAGTACACTGGAGGTGAAGTGCAGTGCTGTCTGCAGCTGCTGTCCCAGGGAGAAACACTTCTATATGGAGGGAGAGAAAGGGGGATGAAGGAAATATGGCAACACGTTAATAACTGGTGAACCTGAAGATGAAGGTGTACTCTTCATATAAGTTTTCTGAAGGTTTAAAATTTTTCAGATAAAAGCAATTATATATATATACTTACATATTGTATATTATATAAATTGTATATATAAATTATATAAAATCTATTACATATTTTTGTTCTTCTGGCACTTGCTCCTAATTCCTCAATTTCATGTTTATCCCATTTCCCTAAATTTATCAGTATATTTCCCCTTAAAAAGGCAATTATTGGGCAGCTCCGGTGGCGCAGTGGTTTGGCACCGCCTGCAGCCCGGGGTGTGATCCTGGAGACCCGGGATCAAGTCCCGCATCGGGCTTCCTACAGGGAGCCTGCTTCTCCCTCTGCCTGTGTCTCTGCCTCTCGCTTTGCTCTCTCTGAATGAATAAGTAAGTAAATCTTAAAAAAAAAAAAAAAAAGGCAGTTATTTCAATTTAATGTCATGACCCGTTAACTTACCCTACTGCCCCCCACCCCCACACACAGAACCTGCGTTTCTGCAGGAGATTGCACGTGATCCATCTGCATGGTTAAGCTTGAGAAGCATCACTGACAATTAGCAACCTTCCAGTAAAACTATTATTATGTTGTAGTTTAAAAGTTACTTTATCTAGGTTATTTAAATTTACCATCCTATTTTCATCCCAGCCACAGTGTAAAATCATTTTTATTCTTTTTTCAACATGAAACTGAAGTCCAAGAAGGTGACAAACTTGCCTAAAATCCTGTGGCTAGAGCCAGGTCAAAGGGTAGTGTAATACTTGTAAACTGTTACTACTTTGCTGAATGTATCATTAATCTGCATGGTGGTTTAGGTGATAATTGCACATTATTCTCATGTATAGAGAAAAAAGTATAATGAGCAAACCAAGTGAGGCATTTCCTAGTTATTCTTGCCTAGGAAGATTTTTTAAAGCGAATTATGTGTAGTGTAGACATGACTAGTGCTGTAGGCATGGTCCCTACATGGCTGAGGTTTAGGGGTTTCTTCTCTATATTATAGATGCATTACTCTCATTTATAGCAATGTCAAGATTTCAATTTTAGTGGGAATTTTTATCAACTAATTTCTTTTTACTAGAAACATCTCATGCAACACCTTGGTACAAAGAAAAAGTGAAAGTTCTTTTTTGTTAGGTAGAAGCTAGATCTGAGCAGTGGAAGGAAGGCCCAAAGCAGAGCCCCAAGTCCTTGAAGGGAAATGATGGAGACTAGAGCTGGAGGCAGGGATGGTGATAGATTAAAAAAAAATGCTACATTTTAAACTGGAGAGCTCAGCATCCTGACCGTGTGGCTTCTAAGACCTTGGGCCCAACAGATCAAGAGCCACGGGTGCAGAACCTGGGCTCTCCTCCTGTCTCTGGTCCTGCCCCAGGGTAACCCCTAGACTCATTATAATGTATTTACATTGCGGGTACAGCCCCACCCGTGGAGAAAGGCTGTCCTGACCACTCCAGAACAAATCCAACCTGTGGGAGGACTTTCCCGGAAAGATTGGAAGCAGCCCCCTTCAGAGACCGCCCCACTGTACTTCACAGCTCTTCCCAGCCCAGAGACCCATTAATATCCAATCCCAAAACAACCCAGGGGCTGGTCCCACTTCGAGGGACCTCCCTGCTCTCCCACCTTGAGAGTGTACTTCTGCTATAATAACCTGCTTCAGGGGCACCCGGGTGGCTCAGTTGGTTAAGTGTCTGCCTTCCTCTCAATGATCCGGGGACCCCAGGATCAAGTCCTGCATTGAGCTCCCTGCTCAGTGGGGAGTCTGCTTCTGTCTCTTCCCTTCCCCCTTACTCATGAGCTCTAATAAATAAAATCTTAAAAAAATAATAAACTGCTTCAAGCTTGCTACTTTCCTTCTGTCTTTATTGGAACTTGGATCCTCATGAATCCCGGGACCGAAACCACCATTCACAGCGCAATCTCCCACCCCGACAGTGTCATGAACATTTTTCTGAAGGATATTAGAGTGTCCAAGATATTTCCCCTAATCCACCTTCATGACTCACTACAAACAAAAATGAGGCAATTGGTATGCTCAATCCTATTAAACAAGCTCAGGAGCCGTCTTAAAATGTTTATAGAAATTACAAGCACAGTATTTTGGGTAGAATTTGCAAGTATGCACTATGGAATCAGGATAGATCTCTTCCTCATAAAGAGACATGAAATGATTACAGTCCCTTACTGTCCAACCTTGATGAAGAGAGAACTGTAATTCCCAATTTGATGTGGATAAGGAGCCTTGCAGAGGTGTCTCGGATGCTTACAATTACTCAGCTGCCCTACTAACATCTTTTTGCCTGTGCCAATAAGGGAAGGATACATGATATTTATGCTAAACTAAGAGTTTTAACAAGGTTCCAGGAAGGGCCCAGGCAAAGATAAAAATGTGACTGCCCTGTATTCTCTAATCTCAGTGGCAGGTTCTCCAACTTCTCTTTTGTGTTTTCGGACCCTCTGGGTAAACAGGTAGGGCTCTGATGGCAGGTTGCTTTGCTCAAGAGCCATCTCTACACATCTGGAACATGACCTCTTAAGCCCAGGACTTGTTTTAAAACCATGGCTTGAAAACACTATGTTTAGATGTAGACTGCGTGCAGTCCTGAACACGCAGGATGTTTACAAGGAAGAACTGTACACTGGTGCTGAGGTCATTAGTTGTGGGTTTTTCCATTAGTCCTCTCTTTTTTGCTTTCCCAACTACACATGCTCTTGACATCTTCTGGGTATGTGCAGGAGGTAAGAAAATAGTTGTCGGCCTTCCACAGTTGCTTCGTGGAGATGCCTCTGGCCTTTTCTTATCCAAACTCAACAAGGATGTTTCTCCCATGTCACCATTACAGCTTCAACATGAAGACAATGTCCCCATTTTTTTTGCTTACTTTTTGCTTCAATGACTTAACTTCTATGCACCTGGACCTTGGAGGACGGGAGAAACACAGTATCCAGTTGGAATCTGGCCTCTACTGATGTGATGTGGATTACTTCTCCTCAGTGGGAGGCACTTTATGGGTCTATAAAGTGAGCCACACCATTTGCTCATTAAGATCCTTCTTTGCTGGAAGCCATTATAATACCCCATATGAGGACAAGATTTTATACTTTTGGCATCTAAAAAGTAAAAATAATCCTCTTACTTGCTGCATAGACTCTATCAGATGCTGAATAAAATGTAGATGAAAACAGAAGGAGGACAAATCCTATAATGAAAGAAGATACTCATGCCCAGCCATGACTCAGTGTGCGTGGAGTTAAGTGGGCTCTGGGCAGCTCTATAAACCTAAAGAGGAGCACAGCATATGCCCTCCAACTAAGGCACTTTACTTTATCAATGAAAAGAAGTCTTGATATTTGAACTGTACACACAGTTCCATAATAGAGACTTGGGAAAATGTAGAATCAAATATGTGACAATATAACAAAACTGACATACAAAAAAAAAGCATTTGGAGACAATTCACAGCATTTATTCAAGTTAATTCATTTCATTCAATAATCTGCCATATTGCTGCTGTCACCGTTAATATTACCGTCATTACTATTTCTCTTTCCAGAGGACCATGCTTTTAAAAAAATCTGTCTGGGATTTCCATGATATTTAACTCTATGATTAAAAATCTTTTTCTTTACCAAAAGGCAACCCCTTCAACACAAGAGGAAACAGGAAAAATGGAGATTTAGTTGTAGAAAGTGATCTCCACCAGAAACAACCCATAATCCATAACCTTTCAGGCTTGTAGTTTTACTTGAGGTCTCTTTTTGGGGGGAGGGGACTGTCTCTCATAAATGTTTGCTTAAGACAGAGAACATGCCCTACCACATCACAGATGGGAAATAAGGTCTAGTGCCTAGAGAAGGTGGCAGGCAGGTGGTCCTCCAGGAAAGGAACCCTAATGGCCCTTAGGTGACAGAGTCATTTTGCCAGTCAATAGTAATAAAAAGGTCTCGTCAGGTGAGTAGGAGAGGTAGTAAGTAGCTCCCAGTTAGAATCTCTAGCTCAGGAATGTCTGTGAGTAAGCTGGAGCTGGAGGGAGACATTATAGTCTGTAGAAAATGACTAAGAGGGGCAGCCCGGGTGGCTCAGCGGTTTGGTGCAGCCTTCAGCCCAGGGCGTGAGCCTGGAGACCCAGGATCGAGTCCCATATCAGGCTCCCTGCATGGAGCCTGCTTCTCCCTCTGCCTCTCTCTCTCAAATAAAATCTTAAAAAAAAAAAAAAAAGAAAAAGAAAAAAAGAAAGTGACTAAGAATAGGCAAGTATGAAAAAGACACTGGTTCCCTACTGGGGGACCCACAGAGTGGTGGTACCACCAGTCAAGGGCAGGCCTGTGCTCCTTTGAGAAGAGAATACACTGAGTGGGTTCTGCAGTTTTCCTGTAACAACTGGAATGATACTGAACTAGTGGAAAGTTTTCATTCAGAGGACCAGAAAATACTGATAGAACACCTGTGTGCAAGGCAATGGAACAGGTCCTGAGAAAGGAAATCAAGCTAAAATGTGCTCCCGACCAGAAGGAGCCATCTAGCAGCGGCCATCAGACCCCTGCACACCACTGAGTGCTGTGTCCAAGGGGCTACGTGGAGGGAAGGATCGCTCCTGGCTGGCTTAAGGGAAAGCATTGCCCCATCCTTTCCTCCTGGTCCTCAGCCTGTCCTCTGTGCCTCTATGTTACTGCTCGGCCTGGCCCATTCCTGGCACTTGCTTATCTTAACCTTATCTTTCTTGGTGTGTGAGAAATGGGAGTTTGGGAAGATAAGATCCTGCTTCACAGGTGCCCAGTGTATGTGGAATGGATGTGTTGTAGAAATGTTACTCTGTCCTGGTTCAGAAAGGTACACGAAATCTAGGGAAAGGAGAGCTCAGGTGGGGTGGTCAAGGTATGGTGTCTTAGTCAGAAGGTGGGAGCAAAGTCATACCAACAAGCAATTTTAGCACACAGCTTAAACCAGATGACACAAAGAGCATCAACACTGCCAAAGACCCCAAGAAGGGATCTGGGGGCCCTCTGCCACAAAAGTGAGTCTGCAGAATTGGAAAGCTAAAATCCTTTTCGCTTCTCTAGCCAAGCTCAACCAGAGCGTATGAAAGAATGATGAATAACCAGAAGGTCTTAAATTTCTGGAAAGTAGAAAGATCAAGTAAACTCCAGCACCCCCCGCATCCCTCCCACCCCCAAAACGGTGAAGCTGAAAGTCAAAGTATAGAGAAAGCTTTTAGATATCTTCTTTAAGTTTGTTTTTGGCGTTTTGGTCTGTAAGCAATCAAGATGGAGAGAGATGCTATCCCAAAGAGGAAAGTTTGTAGGAACCAGAGTAGTTGAGCCCGACCATTCGTGATGCCTTTAGACCTAAAAAAAAAAAAAAAAAAAAAAGAAAGAAAAAAGAAAAAAACTTAACCAGCAGAATTTTAACATTATCGTTTCATAAGAGTTACTGTCTTCCATTTTTTAAAAAATGTATTCCTTCTATTTACTTGCATTAGGTTTATTTTGCCATTTTCCTCCAACTTCTTAACTCACATGGTTAGCTCATTTATTTTTCTTTTTCTTGTGCATTTAGGATGGTACACTCTTCCCTCGGATGTGGTGTGGCTACTGCCAAGGGCATGGTATCATAAACCGATTTCTCATGAGACTTTGAAGAGCAGACAGGGTTAAAATAAGCACTGGGATGGCTTTAGAGGAAGTGCTTTGTTGAAGGCAGAGCAAATGAAAATCCTAGCTAGACCAACTACTAGCTGTGATGCTGGGCAAGTCACACTCATTCTCTCTCAGTATCTGTTTCCTCCTCTGAAAAACAGGAATATCAGCCACCAACTGGTGGCTCACTTGGTTAAATGTCTGCCTTTGGCTCAAGTCATAATCCCAGAGTCCTTTTCCCTCTCCCCCCTTCCCTGCCCCCTCGTGCTCTCTCTCAAATAAATAAAAATCTTAAAAAAGGGGCAGCCTGGGTGGCTCAACGGTTTAGCGCTGCCTTCAGCCCAGGGCCTGATCCTGGGGACCTGGTATCGAGTCTCATGTTGGGCTCCCTGCATGGAGCCTGCTTCTCACTCTGCCCCACCCCCCGTCTGCGTATCTCTCATGAATGAATAGAATCTTTAAAAAAAAAAAAAAAGAAAAAAAGAAAGAAAAATAGGAATATCAGTATTTATCTTAGCAAGTTTTGATGATTTATAAAATAACACACACAAAGTGCTTAGTAAACAGCCTGGCACCTAATGATAATAAACATCTCACTGCAGTCATCCAAACTAAACTGCCTAAAACAAAGCTCAAAAGAAAATATCTCAACTGAAGTGAATGGCTTGCTAGTCTCATCTGTATATGAATAAGTCTCATGTGGATAACTTCTAATTTAAAACAAAATTTAAAAATAATATATGTAGAAATAATTTCCCACACTAGCAGATTAAAGGAGAAAAATTAAAACATCCATTCTGAATGTAAGTTCTGGAACTGAGAAATAGGATGGAACTTCCTTACTCTGATAGAGGAGGTCTACACAACTCTAGAAAAAACCTCATGCAAAATGTTACAAGCTTTCCCTTTAATCAGCAACAACACAAGGGCCAGCAGAATTCATGTTCATGCAGTATTACTTAATAAAAAATGAAAGACTTCGAAGTCTACCAAAGTGGGGGGGATTTGTGAGCTACACTAAGATACATCCATATAATAGAATACTGAGCACTAAGAAAATGAATGAGGTAAATTCATAGGTACAGACATGGAAAAACAGGCATATGTGACAATAGAGAAAGTTATAGAAGAGTTTGTATCTCTATGTACATATACTATGGTGGCTATAAAGTCAAACATATAGATCAGTCTTCTCTCTGGTTAAAAGGAATTCACCAATTCCTTTTTATTGCTGGATTCACTTAAATTTATTTGTTCATTCATAATTCAAAAGGAGTATTTATTCTGGTGTACAGTGACAAGTGATTTACTGCAACACGCGATCCTTATAGAAATGATCTCAAGAGCACAGTAACAGTCACCTAAGCTCTCTAGGCCTGCTCTCCTTCTACCCTTCAAAGACCTGGACAGCAAAATGTTAAATTTGAGTCTTTTGGTTTTCTTTAGAGGCTCCAAATGCCACTAACAGAACGGGTGTCAAGTACTGGTGTCCGAGAGGTTAGACCACACTCCTCCAAGCTAAAATTCTGCTGCGAGGCTGAAGGGACCACTGCAAAGAGCGCTGGAGCACTTCCTATTCTAAGTCAAGCTCCAAGAACAGCTTCAACTACTTGGAGAGCTTGCCCTGAGTCCCCTGGAATTCAGGGGAAGAGATTAATATCGGGTTCTGCAGTGGGAACTGCATGCACTCGTGGGTTTATCCTGTTGGAGGGGGAAGGCAGGTGTTACTCTGAGCTGTTCAGATCTGCTGGGAGGCCAGAAGCACAGGTGGGCTTCAAAGGGACCCTGCCCCAGAGGCCCTAACTGAAGGGCAGAAGAGATCTCAGTAAAGGAACAACTCTCCCCAACCACAGATCCTGAGGGGAATCTGCATGTGGCAGGCTGGAGGCGGCATCTGAAGGAACCACCGAGGCAACTACAGGAGGGCCATCCCTAAAGATGGCTGGTTTCTCAAAATCCACCCGGGCCCCCCTGGAGCAAAAGAACCAACACCAGGTATGCAACATCCATAGCTCGCAGCTGCCTGACACAAGGCAGAAGCGTGCCCTGTTTCCCCTCACTGTTCCCACCCAATGGACCACAAGCAACTGTTGCTAGTGAACAGGAAAAAGAGGCGCCTCAGAGAGAAGGCACCAACTACACTCTCTTCTCCTATTGGCTCCTGAGCCCCAGCTGGATGACAAGAGACATTCTGACTTAGGTTCCAGTTTATGCTTTTAATAAATAGTCTGGACTTAGGCTGGAGAGTATCAGATAGTGACTGGGAAGTGCTTCAGATTTCATCCAGGGCTAGGGTGGGAGAGAAGCAACAATCCACAGGGTGAGAAAGAACAAAGCTGCTTTCTGCTCCTCTCCTGGAAAATCCAGTCTGTTTCATAAACCAGAAGATAGAATAACATTATCTCTTTAAAGCACTTAGCAAGTGTCTGGCACAGTGTGCACTCAGTAAATATTATTATTATTACAACATGGTTGTTATAAAGTATCTTATTTCTCACTTTTATGAGTAATACAACAGTAATAGAGGGGATAGTTCATCTTGACCAGAGAAAATTAACTGCAAAGTAATCTGGCATTACCGTAACCACCTCTTCATCACACTTTACTGTCTGTACATGGTTACATGAAGCACTAATGTCGAGAGAATCTTTCCTAGGACCCTCACACAGTATTAATGTACAGCTGCTCTGTTGGGTGGAGCTGAGAGGCTTTTCCAGCTTGCAATGCATCCCAGAGTCATCTATGGAGCTTGAAAAAAAAATAATAGATTCCCATTGCTGAGGCAAGGCCCACCAAACCGAGATTTCTGGATCTGGAAACCACACGTGTATATTTCAAAAAAAGCTCCTCAGGCGATTCAGTTGTGAAACTAGGGTTGAGAATCATTAGGCTCCGTCAATAACTGGCTCTTTGTCAAACTAGAAGGCAACCTCCAAATCTTTGCTATAGGTGGAGCTAACAGGGAATTTTCTTTAATGAGAAAAATCATCTAAATTAAGTACTAAATAACTGAGTAGCTAACACAAGTGAAATGAATCCATTCATTAAATAGTCACTGAGTACTCCCCTGGCGCTGGGCTCAGTATTAGGTGTGGAGATTCAACTCTACTCGGCCTACAAATGCATGAATTATTTAAATATGGCTACTCTCAACTCATATTAGATACCAAGAGAAAAGCGATAAAGACCTATTAAAAAGACTTAAAATATTTTTAAAAAGGGGGGGGGGGGGGAGCCCGGGTGGCTCAGTTGGCCCAGGGCATGATCCTGAAGACCCGGGATCCAATCCGACATCAGGCTCCCTGCATGGAGCCTGCTTCTCCCTCAGCCTGTGTCTCTGCCTCTCTCTCTCTCTGTTGCTCACGAATAAATAAATAAAATACTAAAAAATAAAATAAAAATAAAAACACTTACTTGTGGGACGCTTGGGTGGCTCAGCTGGTTAAACATCTGCCTTGGGCTCAGGTCATGATCTCAGGGTTCTGAGGTGGGGCCCCACATGGGGCTCCCTGCTTCTCCCACTCCCTCTGCCCCTCCCCCTGCTGTGGTCTCTCTCTCTCTCTCTCAAATAAAATCTTAAAAAAAAAAACAAAAAAAAAAAAACAAAAACAAAAACACTTACTTGCACAAAACCATGGCGTACAAGGACTCTCCCACGTGAATCAGCCAGGCAAGCCAATACCTGAAACAAAAGTCAGCCTAGCTTAGGGTGATGGTTATCTGCTGATGGAATCTAACACAGAAACCTCAAAAAGGTGCCTTAATGTGAACCAGCAACACTCTTAAGATATCTAAAGGCAAGTGCAGGCCTTCCAGACAGACAGTAGGACTGGCGCTATAGGGTCCACATCCCATTTCTGGAGCCCTCCTTACCCGCTGTGCAAGAGGGTGTGATGATGGTCCACCAAGTACTGAGTGAAGAGGCCCAGGGGTCCGAGGCTCTGATAAGGGACACTCTGAGGCCAGAAGACAACCCACTGCAAGAGAACCAGAGGCACGCGATACCTAGTAGGTCACTTAAATTAGCAAATGCTTATTTTTGAGACTGTGAAACAATCCTGATTCTACGAGAAAGACCAGAGACCAAAGGATCTCTGGGCTTCCATTCTCCACTTTTGTTTTCTAAAAGCTATGCCACCGCGAGATTAATGCAGAGGAAGCTCTGTGGTTATCAGACTCAGGGCCCAGGCTGGATGACTTCTACTCTTATTGAATTCCACCAAAAACATTATTTCAGGGAATCCCTGGGTGGCACAGTGGTTGAGCATCTGCCTTCATTCCAGGGCGTGATCCTGGGGTCCTGGGATGGAGTCCTGCATCGGGCTCCCTACACGGAGCCTGCTTCTCCCTCTGCCTGTGTCTAGGCCTCTCTCTCTGTGTGTCTGTCATGAATAAATAAAATACTTTAAACATTATTTCATACAGGTTGTTCATAAATTTTAAGTTTCTATGCCCTGGCTAGCTTCTTTACAGCAGAAGCCATGGCTTGAGCCAAACCCCCATTTAATTTAGAATCCCTTTCTCTCCTTTCACTCTTCCCACATCTAAAAACTGGGAACGATCCACTTCCCAGAGCTGGAAAATCAGTACGACAAGAGGCCCTAACAGCAACTACCCAACTGCATTAGGCTTTTGTTATCTGGCCAACCTTCCCTTCCTCCCTATATCGTAATCTCTGCCAGCTTAGGTTTTTTCTGAGCATTCAGTGTCCACAGATCCAAACTCATTGCCCCGTGCAGATCTCAGCCATTGGCATCTGAAACGTAAATAAAGCCCAAAACATCCCTCCTCCCCAGCCCCCAAACCCCGGGGGAATGGAAGGGGCAGCACCTGCCAGATTCCAAGGCCCCACAGCTCTCCTCCCTCTTACTTTCTGACTAGTCAGGAAACCAGAATCATACGACAGACACGCACCTCCGACAATTTTCCAGTTCGACACCGAATTTTACGGAGGAGGGAACCTGAGCCCGGGAGACGGGACCCGACGACCCACCCCAAGCCCCTGGGGTCCGGGACCTCCTGCCTCTCTTCTCTGTTAAATCAACTTAGTCCCAGGCCTACGCCTCCGGGCGTCTTTCCTATCATCCCTTTTTAAATTATTAGTATTATTTTTAAAGATTTTATTTATTTATTCACGAGAGAGGCAGAGACCCAGGCTCCCTGCAGGGACCCCGACGTGGGGCTCGATCCCGCGACCCCGGGGTCACGCCCTGGGCCACCCGGGCTGATCCTTTAAAGGACAGACAGACGGTGTCAGTCGGGGCGGCCCCTCCCCCTTCCTCAGCCCACAGCCCCGCCATCACATTCATGACCCCTGTGTCCCTCCTTCAGGCCTCACCCCGTTTTCCGAGCAACCCCCAACTCCCGGCCCCTAGCATCCCGTCTCGGAGGCCCGGCGGCCCGCCTTCCTCCCCGGCGAACTCTGCTCGCTCTCCGCCGGGGCTCGGGGGCCGCGGCGGGGCGGGGCCGCAGAGGCGAGGCTGCCCGAGCGGACCCCCGCCCCGGGGGCCCACCGACCTCCCGCGCGTGCTAGTAACCTAGGCAACCGCGGGCCGCGCAGGCGCACCACCCAGCCTCTCGGCCTACGGGGGCCCGGCGGGGCAAAAGACACGCGCCGCCCGGCCGCGCGCCTCACCGCCAAGTAGCCCAGTGCCAGGACGGTGACCAACGCGGGCAAACGTCTGGCCGGACGGAAGTAGGCGGAAGCGGCCCTGCCGGCCTCGGACTTCGTCACCACCATCTTGAAAGAGCTACACGGAGTCTCGGGGTGGGGAGCCGCCCCCGCCCCATCCCCATCCCGGGAAAGCCTGGCTAACTGGTTCCTCGGGGCCGTGGGCAGAGGCGGGCCAGTGCGCCTGCGCGACCTCCCAGCGCGCGGAGCCCGACTGCGCCTGCGCAGCCGCTCGGGGCCGGCCGGCGCAGGGCTCGCGCTCCGGGGAGCGCTCGCTGTGCTCGCGGGGCGGCTCCCCGCTGCCCTCACCGTGTAATACCCGAAGGACAGGGCGATGGCGGTGAACCAGGGCAGACTGCCCCTCTGGAAGTGCGCCTCGCCGCCGGCCGCCGGCGCCATCCCTGCGGCTCCCCCGCCGGACCGCGAGGCTGCGGCTCTGCGCGGGCCCGGGGGCGGGCCGGGGGGCGGGGCCCGGGGCGGGCCGGGGGCGGGGCCCGGGGGGGGCCCGGGGCGGGGCCCGGGGCGGGGTGGGCCGGGCGCTCCTCCCTCCCGCGAGCCGGAGGCACCTGCGGGCTCGGGAGCTCCGCGGGCAGCGTGGGGGCCCTAGGGAGACCGCCTCTGAGAGTCTCGCTATTCCCGGGCCTCTGGGAAGGATGTTGGAAGACACGCTGCCTTCCGCCCCCGGTGACCGCGACCCCGAGAGAAGTGATGCTCCTCCTCTTGGTCGCAGAAGGTGTGCGGAGCCGGACTGCGCGGCGCTTGGGCGCACGGCTGTGCAGTAGGCGACCTGGCCTCCCGTCCTCCCCCCGCGACTCGTTGTCGCCCTTAAACAACACAGCTTCGACTGTGTAGCTTGAAAGGTCACACTGGCCTTTACTGAAAGGTTCATGAGTGGGGCGGCACCCATCTGGCAACTAGAAAAGACCTCTGCTGAGCTGCCGAAAGGATTTTTTTTATAAAGGCAGAGAGGGGGCATTAAAAAAAAAAAAGGAATTTATTGCTTTAGGCAATGTCACCCCGATAAAGGGTAAAGGGTCTATCAGAGGATTACCTCCCAGTGTGGACCAAGAAATTCCAGTTTTATGGGTTAAAGGTTATAAAGGGGGAGGGGAGGAGAGAATGAAACTGCAGTGAGATTAGGTTTTAAGGGGACGCCTGGGTGGCTCAGTGGCTGAGCGACTGCTTTCAGCTCTGGGGCGTGACCCCGGGGTCCTGGGATATAGTCCCAACGTCAGGCCTGCTTCTCCCTCTGCTTGTGTCCCTGCCTCTGTGTGTGTGTCTCTCATGCATAAATAAATAAAATCCTTTTTAAAAAAAGATTAGGTATTTATTCTTGATATGGGGCCTTCTCCATCTGTAAAATGGGGATATAGCCGTTCCTACCTCAGGGCTCTTGGTTGGATTAAAAGAGTTAATACCTATAATAACAGCACTCACAAAAGTGCTTGGACCATAGTGCTTTCTGAGTTTTGGTTATAATTACTGAGCTGTGTGTCAGGCCCTATACTAAGTGCTGCAGATCAAAACCAAGTGTGCTCCGGTTAGACTTCATGAGAAAAATACTATTTTACTTGGGCCTTAAATGTGGGTAAAAAATAGGTGGTATTTATTGGGTGCTTACTATGTTCGGGGCATTGTTCTAAGTACTGTGTTTAGAAGGATTAGCTCGTTTAGTTCTGAAAACCACCCTGCGTGGGAGATTTTTGTCTTTTTGTCTTCAGACAGAAATGTCTGAAGTCCTATAAGTCGAATATTGGAAATCAAGTGATAGCCACGTTCCGGCACTCTTCAGGCCCATTCTGTATGAGGTGTGGAATATTTCCATAACTTCTTCAGTTGATATGGGAAGGTTCTGCTTCCTCGTTTTTGTTTTTTTTTTTTAATTTATTTATTTATTTATTTATGATAGTCACAGAGAGAGAGAGACAGAAACACAGGCAGAGGGAGAAGCGGGCTCCATGCACCGGGAGCCCGACGTGGGATTCGATCCCGGGTCTCCAGGATCGTGCCCTGGGCCAAAGGCAGGCGCTAAACCGCTGCACCACCCAGGGATCCCCTGTTTTTTTTGTTTTTTGTTTTTTTTTACATGACTGTGTTGGGCTATGTTTTAAAGAATGAATTCCAGGATACAGTCCATTTCCCAGATAAACCACAGCACCTGTTAATATTTGAGTTACCAATCCTAAACAGTTTTTCTTAGTCCTAATTTCTTTCCATCAAGAACCACCTTCTTGGTTCTTTTCTCTGAACACCTCTGCTTTTTCAGCTTTCCTTTTACTTCCTGTCCCCTAGATACAGGTTTTCCCTAGGGTCTTCTCTCTGTATTAACAGTACCTTCGAGGGGATCCCTGGGTGACTCAGCGGTTTAGCGCCTGCCTTTGGCCCAGCGTGCGATCCTGGAGTCCCGGGATCAAGTCCCACATTGGGGTCCCTGCATGGAGCCTGCTTCTCCCTCCTCCTGTGTCTCTGCCTCTCTCTCTCTCTCTCTCTCTCTCTCTCTCTGTCTATCATAAATAAATCTTTTAAAAAAAATAGTACCTTTGAGATTCAAGTTTGCCTCCATCTGGATGACTGAACTGTCTCCAGCCTTTAGCCTCCCTCCCCTGCCCTGCTGCTCATCTTCACAAGGTGTCACACAGCACTTCAAAGACAGGTCCACTTTAGGGACGCGGGGGGGGGGGGGGGGTGCGCAGCGGTTGAGCGCCTGCCTTGGGCTCAGGATGTGATCCCAGGTCCGCATCTGGGGGATCTGGGGATCAGGGATCCTGTCTCCGCACTGGGCTCCCTGTGGGGAGCCTGCTTCTCCCTCTACCTCTCCTGAATAAATGAATAAAATCTTTAAAAAAGGCAGGTCCACTTTATCTTCTAAGGCAGTCCTCACAAAGGCTTCCCTGTTTATGTTAGCTATTTCCTTCTTCCAGGAACCCAGACTCCCCTTCTTTGGCTGCCTTCTTATCTACTCAGCCACCAAGAGTTCTGTTGATTGAGTAACATTACTTCCAATCTTCCCAGATTAAACCATGGTTTAACTTCTGCCCTCCCTGGGTCATTCCCTCCTATGTTCTACTGATGTGGGAAACAAAGACAAAAGAAAAATTGTTAAGTTTCCTTATTACTTTACAGCCGTTGACAAGTCCTTAAAACTGGCAGAGTGACATTCCTCTAGGAACTCAGCTGCCTCCTGCCTCGATGTTAATACTTTGCTAAGAGCAAAAGGCTATCTTAGCCTTGACTTCTAGGGTCCTATGAGTCTACTTTAACATAGAAAAATTCCTCTGGAAACTTCTTTTATCTCTTCCCCCCAAGATATAGGTTAACGACCATCCTCCAAGTGTCTGACCCACTGATATACATCTGAAGGGTCTCATGAGGGATTTTACTAAATAGTAATAGATGACCTTTTTCCTAACAATAGCTAGCCCCCCCTCAGGGTCCTGAAAACTTTCTTTCCAAAATACCTTGGAGGCTGATGCTGTCCCCCACCCCGTCCCAGTGGCCTATAAAGTACATAATAGGCCACTCAGGACTCCAGTGCAGCTCGTTCTGCCCATGGGTCCTATCCCCGTTCTTTAATAAAACTGCATTTTGCACAAAACATGTCTCAAGAATTCTTTCTTTGCAATGGTTCCCGACCCCAACCATTTCCTACATCACTACCACTTGCACCCACATGCAATACCTTTTTCAAATTCGACCTACAGTTCTCCACAAAGTACAGTACTGACCAAACCTTTACCTTACCATAAGTTTTTAAGAACTTCCCTAATTTTAGGCTATTGTTTTTTTTAGTATTTTTCTTCTGGTGTTAAATATGCATCAAGGGAGATTTAGGAGAAATAACTAAGGATAAAATTGTAGAAGAGGCAACATGGTTAGGGGCAAAGGACTATGGGAAGCTAGGTTTTTGGGTTTTTTGTTTTGTTTTGTTTTTAAAGATTTATTTATTCATGAGAGACACAGAAAGAGAGGCAGACACTTAGAGGGAGAAGCAGGCTCCCTACGGGGAGCCTGATGCAGGACCCCACCCCAGGACCCCAGGATCATGACCTGAGCCAAAGGCAGACACTCAACTCCTGAGCCACTCAGGTGCCCTGCTAGGTTTTGATTTTGTATCTTCCACCACCATGCTCTGAGCCCAGCAAGTTACTTAGTGCCCTGTGCCTCCCCTCCTCACACCCCTGATTATGGTTGGGAAGAGCGGTACAGCCATAACCAAAGGGTTTTACATTAGACCATCATGCACATGTAAGGAGTCCAGATGAAGGTACCAGATGATCTTTACTCAGATATGAGTAGTTCATGTCAATCCATAAAGAGCCCACAGTCAAGTGGAGATGTCAGCAGGAAATTCTCAAAGTTTTCCTCTTCCCTAAAGATATAAATGTAGTGATCTGAAGGGGCAACTGCACCCCAGTGTTGATAGCAGCAATGTCCACAATAGCCCAAGTATGGAAAGATCCTAGATGTCCATCCACAAATGAATGGATAAAGAAAATGTGGTGTGTATATATACAAAGGACCATTACTCAGCCATCAAAAAGAAAGAAAAAGAAAGAAAGAAAGAAAGAAAGAAAGAAAGAAAGAAAGAAAGAAAGAAAGAAGAAATCTTGCCACATGCAACAACGGGGATGGAACTAGTGGATATTATGCTAAGTGAAATAAGCCAATCAGAGAAAGACACTCACTCGTGTGGAATTTAAGAAACAAAACAGGATCATAGGGGAAGAGAGGAAAAAATAAAGCAAGATGAAATCAGAGAGGGAAACAAACCATAAGAGAAAGAGACTCTTAATCATAGGGAACAAACTGAGGGTCGCTGGAGGGGAGGGGAATGGTGGCATGGGGTAACTGGGTGACAGGCATTAAGGAGGGCACAGGATGTAATGGGCACTGGGTGTTACAGAAGACTGATGAATCACTGACCTCTACCTCTGAAACCAATAATACATTACATATTAATTAATTGAATTTAAATAAAATAAAGAAACCCTTAGCAAATGTACACTTAAAAACAAACGAAACCAAAAGGGTTTCCTCATTTCTATCTAACTCACCCTCTTCACAGGTGACAGAGGTTGCTAAAACTTTGATCCTCCACTTGCTCTATGTTGCTATCCTGTCTGGGTTGGCAAAGAAATATCTCACCCTTTACACTTTCTCTCTT